TTCCATGATTTATAATGATCGTCCAGAATGATATATATATCGTCAGGGATGATATGAACAAATTTCTTATTTTCATCTCAAATCTTCCCAGCTGATTGGGCTTAAATTGTACTAATCGTACAGGATAATAAAGTTGGCAACTTGCATTAATGATCTCGTTTTTAGATCTTCTATTTAAACTATGACATGACACTTGGGAAGTGTCTTTGGCAACCATTGTAGCTTCGTTCTTTTAGGGGGAACTTGAAGAGAGAGCTTGAAAGGTCGTGAGGAACGGGTGAAGTCTGAGAGGGAGAAGATCCTGTGAGGGGGGACTCAAGGGAGTGTGGAGGGGGATTCCAAAGGGTTGCTCTGGCAGGCTTGCACCTTAATACCGTTGGATTCAAGGCTTGTCTTGAAAGAAGTTCACCAAAGAAGAAGATCTCTTTGGTGTCAAAGGACCCGATGACTCCGCCGCACTAGGGAAGGTGGAAGTGATTTTGTAAGGGCTTCTCCGCCTAGCTGTGGGGGCTAAAGGAGAGACACTTTTGTAGTGCAATACTTGGAGGGTGCCTCCAAGGAGTGGACGTAGGTCATGGTTTAACCGAACCACTATAAATCTGGTGTGTTCTTTCCTTTATTACTTCCGCATTTAATTTATGCATCATTGATTTCTTTGTGGTGATTTTTGTTTGTTGTCTTTGGTTTAAAGATTCTTAAATACCAATTCACCTCTCTCTTCTAATTAGCCTTGGGCTAGTTCATGGGGCCTAACATCCCTAAAAAACTTTCATTTGTAAGTTAGAGATATCAATTATACAATATTTACAGAATAGGAAGATCAATATCAAAGTCATATCCTATGTGATTCAAGTTTCAATTTTCCTAGTACATCCTTATATTCAATGAGTTATTAAGGTTATTGGTGACTTCACTAAACCAAATTTGTGTGAGGAAAAAAGAGTAAAAAATATGTTAAAAGAGATACTCTATGGTGATTTTGGGAATCATTAAAAAAAAAATAACACTCACCAATAAAATACTTTGATAGGGCTATTTCTATCCAACCCTCTAAATATACTCAAAGGAAGTTTTAAGGATATTGTTCCAATATTAAATTTGACTCGCACGTAGCTATAACCTTCTGATATGCTATAACATATTTCTTTCCCTTGATCATTTATCACATTGGTAATTGATCACTTTGGTCCTTTTCCACCCTCCATCAGGCAAAGGAAATTCATTTGAGTGATGATAGACAACTTCTCCAAGTTGATAGAGGGAAAATCACTTCATAAGGTAATTATTAAAATCTTCAAAAAATTCTTATGGAGTAATATAATTTGTAGTTACAAGATACCTCTCATCTTAATCAGTGATGATTGGTTGTTATTCATTGTTAAGAAGATTATGGAATTCTTTTCGAAAGGATCCCACCTGAAGTTCACTTTTGTAATAATTAGTTGAAGTAGGTAAAAATTAGTGGGTAAAAGCACACCCTTTAATCCTATGTATGCTATGGACAACACTCTCTTCAATAATAGATCAAATTATATTCACACTCTCCCAATGAGTAAAGCCCTATTACCAATCGAGTGCATGCTTCAGAATAAGCAATTATTCTCAGTAACCTATTTTAAAGAAAGCAAACCTACCAATTGGGAATAAATAAATGAATTGGGCATGGAGTTTGCAGTCAATATCCTAGATGAACACTAGCTCAATTTATGCTCAAGTAGGAGGAAATAAAAAAAAGAATCATAAAATATTATGATGTTAGTATAAGGTAGAAAGTCTTCAACCATAGAAACATGGTATTGAAGGTGGTAGAAATAGTAGCTCTTTTGTCAATTTAGGAAAACATTACTTCAATACGAGTAAGACCTTATATAATCAAGAATAAAGTTAGTTCTAGAAAAAATCAATTTCAAACACACTTTAGAAAGGATGTCTGGAGGTCCTAGAGCACCAATAAACAAAAGACATTTTATCCATGAGAAAATTTATTGTATTTTGAATTGAACACTTTGATAGGATAATAAAACAAACTCTTTTCTTTTCATTCCTACTTATCTTTACATTTCTCTTAGAAAAATTATATGGTATAAATACTAAGAAAATAATAATAAAAATGACACTCATGGAACTTTCCCCCTTCCTAATGCACCCAGGAAGCTTACCAAACATCCTTGAGTGCAAGTAGAGTACTCATCCACTAAAAAGAAAATAAATAAACTTATTAAATCTTAAAATTTATCACTCGGGGAACTCAGGAAAAGGATTCAAATACAAAGAAATGATATAATGGCTATTCCAATAATCCATTCAAATAGCCATGTTCAAACCAAATAAACATTGGACTTTGATCAGTGGTGAGATACACAAAAAGTTTTAATGAATAGGAGTGACTCAAAGAATGTAATAAAAGAGTTTGAGTTAAAAAATTGGAAAATAGGAAAGTCTTAGTCCAGATTCAAGTCTAAACTAGTAGGACTACTCCCTATATATGAGCTAAAGCAGTTAAATATAGGACCTGTAAGAGAGCTTGGGGCACCCAAAGAAGAAGGAAAGTCTACTATTGATTATATCACCTTCCAATTCTTACAAAATTACCTAAGCAATTTTTATTGATTATGAGTAAATAAATATTACCATCCTTTCATTCTAATAAATCCATAACAAAATATTAGAATTTATTATTTCAATTACACTCTCATAGAGTATAAAATTTTTCATATTTTTAATTAATTTTCAAGTAAAATCCATAAAGGGCTTCCTTAGTGTATTCAATGGAATTGTTGATTACCTAAAAGAAGTTCTAGAAAAAAACTCTTCTCTTTATAACAAGATAAATACTAAGAAGTATATGAGCACCTTCTAGTTAGTGAGCATAGATGGTCAATCCTATAGAAAATGTAATATATGACATATGGTGGCTGTCATCAAAAGTGATGGTAAGTTTAATAAAAGCAATATATAGCCTTAGAGGTTGACTCCCAACCTTTGCAATAAGATCCCTAATAAGTAATATATAAGTCCCTTCTTATTAGCGATTCCAGGTGGTTACCCTTATAGAGGCTATAAATTTGGCATAAGGCTTGGTCCACAAAGGATTCATATTATATAGAATTATTGCTATATACATACATATTTATAACATCTTAGTTTATTATTATGAAATATCAAACTTATTAATTTAAGTATTTTATTTTAATCCTTAGCTCTCTTTTGGTATGTTAGCCAAATTATAAACAAACAAATGTCATTATACCATTAAAAAAATTTCTTATTTTTTCATTAAACTTATTGAGCTTAGCGAGTGGAGTTGTGAATCTAACATGCCAAGTTATTATCATTAAGTACTGTCATGGCAAGTTTATTTCATTGGAAATTTTATGGTCATCCCATTAAATAAAAATCTGCCAAGTTCTAACTTGCCTTGTCTAGCTTTCATGATTCAAATCCTTTGGATCTTTCAATAAGATATCATTATAGTCATTATATTCATATTTCACTTGATCTTTATGAATAGTTATATGTTCTCTTTTGTATTTTAATCATAATTATATTCTTTAACCAAATTAAATACTTGCATAATTTTGTAAATATTATGAAAACTAAAGATCAAGTTCTATGGTGATCAACATTCACCTAGTCCATCATATAGAGAAAATAAATACAAAAATTTAGAAAGAAAAATAAGCAATAGATTATATTTTATTTTATTTATTGAAAAATTATATTACATAGTCATTGTAGGAAAAATAGAGAGTAAAAAAAATTACATTATGAGTAAACCTTAATAATTTTTTAGGTTCACCCCATTCCTCTCTTTCATAGAGTTGGGAATCAATTCAAAATGTCCTCAAGCTTTTGTGTGGCTCTTTTTGGGAAACTAACTTTTCCAAGTTTACTCGATCACAACATTTTACATTTACTATGGATTTCATAGTAGTGTGGTTCCTCTTTAATCATTTTCTTTTGATGAGCTTGCTTCACAATTTCCTATTAAAGCCATTAAGGACTCAACCAACTTCTTAATTTCTAGCCTCATGGTGAACTCATTACAAAAAGCCGACATAAAATTTCTACTCTCCCTTTTGAAGTTGGCAAGTTTCCTCAATTATTAATGAATCTTATCGCTATAAAAAAATCTATTTATAACAACATATATATTAAGACACTTATATTTAAGTGCCTTAAGAGATATGTATTAGGGCATATTTGGATGTCGTGCCCATTAATAGAGCGATTTGGTGCTAAGGCGCTAACACAACATCTTGGAATAAGTTACAGTGTATTTCATTTTTCTTGTATTCAACTGCTTCGCCTCCGTCCCTTTGCCTCCGTCGCGCTTCGCCTCGCCTCCATCGCTTCGCCTCCGTTGAATGCGCGTGTTCTCTCTCTCTCAGATTCGCACGAACGCTCCATATCTCCATTCGCGAAAATGCCCCAAACAAACTCCGTCGCCCTCTGATCAAAAATCCCAAGAATTCGTCTATCTTACGCCTAGGAAGACCGACCGAAAAATCAAGGGAATCCAAGACGTCTGCATCTCTTCTTCTCTCGACGCCGAAGCATTCAACCCCTACCGCGAATCCTGCCTTTGACCTAGCTGCTATTTCTGCTTTAGGTACTTTATTTACCTTCTTTCTCTTATTCCCTTCCATTAGTTCCTTTCTTCCTCCTTTTCTAAAACATAAAATGAGGAATTTCTCTCCCTGTTGGTAAAATCTAATGGCTTCTTGCAAATTTTTTTCTTTTCTCTACAATAAAATGAGGGATTTCTCTCCCTATTGTTAAAATCTAATAGCTTCTTGCAAATTTTATTTTATAGAGAGTATAATGAGATTTGTTAAAGGAATTTTTATGAGTTTTTCATACTTAGATTGAGAATCACTAGGCCTTTATTTTCTCTTTTATTTTTAAAAATAAATCTTAAGACAAACTTGCTTATTTTGTTGAGATGTGCATAGTTATAGGATTTCTTTTCTTGAATCATTTCTATTCAATGCTTGAGAACGAATTTCATTCTGTTTGAAAAAATTGGATATTCCATTGCTTGGAATGTTGTAGGTATTTCTTCTTCCTTATTTCTCTTATTCCCTTCCATTAGTTTCCTTTTTATTGGTTTTGTGAAAAAAAAATGGGATTTATCTCCCTCATTGTTAAAATATAATGGCTCTTTGAAATTTTTATAAACTTAAAGATAGCTATTACACGATTTGGAAGCATCTATATTATCTTCTTCCGAACTTGTTCTATTCCCCGCTGCAGTTCTCTTGCAATAAAGTTGAGTTAAAATTTTTTTTATTATCTCCAAAGTTCTATTCCCGCTACAGTTATCTTGCAAAAAACTAGAGGTAATTGTTTTTATTAACTCCAAAGTTCTGTTCCCACTGCAGTCCTCTTGCAAAAACCTTGAGGTAAAATTTTTTTAATTAACTCCTAAATCCAAAAAAGATTTAGATTTAAAATCCACCTCCTAAAAATACAAAAATCAATAAATATGTTGATTGGAAATATGAGTGATTTTGCTTGTATTAGTTCAGTGGATGTTCAATCAGCCATGGATTGTTTTTTATTTTTTGTCCTTTTGGAAATTAAAGAATAGATGTTGTGGCTTTCCTATAAGACATTCATATTGGCATGAACTAAGCTTATCTACATTTATCCAAAGTACTATTCATCTCATGAAAAATTCTGTTTCATGAACGTTCAAAACATATTGATGTAAAATTACACTTCATTAGAGATAATATAAAGTGGATAAATTTTAATTTAAAATTGTTAGTTTGTTATTATTTACATTTATATAATTTTTTTAATCTCAATATATAATGGAGAGGTGCATTGTGGTTGGGAATTCAAATTCCTCAATGGAGGTTGTGGATGACGCAAGCATGAAGTGTGTTGCATTAGCTAGCAAACATCCATTGTATGAGCTTGGAGCTGCAAACCTTTTGGTGTAACAACTTAATGAGCTCTCCGTTGTTGATTTGAAGAATCTTGCCGTTGTTTTTCCTGAATTTTATTCAGGTGAGCCAGATATGGAATTGGAGGAAGAAGACAAGCCTCCTGCTTCATCTGTTGCTGTCAATGATCACTTCTGGTGAGTTGAATTATCATTGTATAGTATAACATTTATTTCCTGATTGGTTGAAATTTAATAAACTGGAGCAGGAAGGGATTGGTGTCCTTATATATGGTTAATTGAATATAAAATTCTCTAATCTTTGGAAGTCTTTAAATATGAAGTAAATGGAGTAAATATAGACTGGTTAATGTACATTTCACTTTGTGCTACACTTTTTTTGAACTATATATTCTATGAAAGCGTAGCTTTTACATGGACTGAAAGTTTATCAAATTTGTGTTGAAGAACAGTTGAAGTAAAGAGAAAATCTACTGAATATGATGGGATACAAAATGTGTATGTCATCATTATGTTTTCTTGCATAATATATATTTTTCACTTAAATGACGAGTTTGATAGTTATATTTCATATGTAGCCTTATATGCATTATTTCTACCTCAATTTTGAACAAGAGCAGTGCATTGTGATGACTGCTCATGATGAAGTAGTGAAGCTTGTGCAATGACCTGCAAGCCACCATTTTAAGTGATGAAGGTGAGGTGCCTTGAAAAGTAAGCTTGAACCCATGGAACAATCTAAAAATGAAAAAGATTTATAAAGTAGATATGCGATTCTAAATATTTGAAGAGTCCCCATTTTTTTGGCTGGTTATATTTGATTCATCTATTTGTAAGCAATCAAATCAGCCTTAATACACATGTTACTTCTCTACTAGGACTGATCAGCTCTTCATGTAAACTGCAGGACTTTTTCTTTTTTACTTTCCAGTTCAAATGAAGAAATTATTTGGTGTGAAAGCATGCACATTTATGCATGCATAGATGTATAAATGCATTTGTTGTGAATAAAAATGTTTACGGACAACGAATTTGATTTATGAATGAGACAATCGATGTTCCTTATCACTCTGTTGTACATTTGTACACATCTTTTCACATTTCCCCACTATAATACGACAATTAATTTAGCCCTAAGTCCTACCTTTAAGGACTTCAACATTCATGTGCTACATTATCATCAAATGATCGCTTTTGGTTTAGCTTTTTTATGTCTGTTTATTTGATGAGATTTAGGCTTTGTGTGGGATGGCTTCTTCTCTGCTTCTTAAAACAACTATTTTTTATATTTTAATTCAGTTGCAATGGATCCTATAATCTAGATTTCAACAATATTATGATTTTCAGTGGATTGAATGTTTTTATTATAGATTTATAAATATTGTTTCATTAAAGTTTCAAATTTTATGATTTTTAATTCATGTATGGACTATTCAAGTGGATTCCTGCTCGTCTATCATTTGTTGGTAGAGTTGTTTCTCTTTGATGTTTATAACTAAGTAGCTTGATATTATGTTGAGTGCTGGAATTTTTCTTTTTTACGAGAAAAGACTAGCCAATATATTTTCTGTTATACTAACCACTTTAAATGATTTTTGTCATGATAGGTTAGGACCGAACCTTCCCAATGTGAATTCTTTCAGTACTGTGATTCTTAGAAGTAGCTGTAAGTTGTCCAAGGACACTTGCTTCAGAAATGGTAAGATATATATAGGCAATTTGTTGATATTCATCTTATAGTTTGATCACATCAGTTCAGATGTGGAAACACATAATCTAGTTTAGCATGAATAGGAAGAATGTAAGGAAACGACACCACTTTATAAATCATAAATCAAATGTTAAAACTTATTTATGTATGATTTTTTTTTTATATATAAAAGAGTTGGCTTTAGCTAAAGTTCTAAAAGTTACTCAAGAACCCCTAATGGATAGGTGGCAAAGTTCAATTAGTAAGAAGACACGACTTTTCATTTTGGAGTATAAAATAGACTGGTGGTTTCTGCGAGAACTATAAATTTGCTAAATTATGTTCCCTTATTATTCATTAAACTTTGATGGTGTTTTTTAAATGTTTTGTTTTGGTAGGCTAAATATTTATGTTTAATTGCTTGCAGAGTCAATAAAAAGTTGATATTGAGTTTAGAAATTCTCTTCAGATTCCAATTTTTGTTTCCAGCTTTTCTCTTATTTGTGATATCTCTACAAAATCTGAAGAGATAGATTGGTAAATCACCTTCCCTTTTATATTTCAGGAATTCATTCATAGCATTTCTTTCTTTTTTATAATATTTATATGTTAACTATGCAGATGGAGCAACATTTTCTTTTGGATTCAATGACATTGAAGAACTTAACATGGCTCCTAGTTGTAGGTACATGCTATTCTTGTTTCATAGTTTCTCAGTTGCAACCATTTAGCAATCATAAATTTAGTGAAAATGGTGAAATGTTGTCTCACTTTAGAATTAGTTTGCTTAGAGGTAAACAAACATTTTTAAAGATTCAGTTCGAATGAAAGTATATTTATAAATTTCAAATTGTATTTCTTTATTTCGGATTTCAGATTCCAATTTATCTTTTTGGCTACAAGCAGAAGTGGATGACAATGAAGTGTGGAAATAGAGATTCCAAGACTTAGGCTACTATTGTGTAAATAAATAGCCCTCATGATAAGGACTATTTTTTGGATTTTCATGTAATGTTTTGTGATGATATTTATTATTATAAATTGATTATGTACATATATGAAGCTTGAAGTAACCTTTTTTCTTTCAGGTGAAAAATTTATGTAATATTAGATTTATGAATTCATAAAATAAATTTTTTATTTGATGAAAAATATCTTATGTAAGCTCTCATATGTATATGAGATTTTTAGAAATTTGATTGGAGATTATTTATTTGCAAATGAAATATTATGAGTCAGCATGATTAATTGATAATTGAATATATTTTATATTAGATACAACATATATTGAGGCATAAAATAATGTCATTTTATTAAAATTATTTTATTAAATTAAAGTGTTGGGAAATCATATATCTTAGGGCAACTTAAATGTGCCTTAATATCAAACATATTTCATCAAATAAATGTGTTAGAAAAGTTAACCTATTATGACACATAATATTTGTCATATTTATTAATAAATTCCATCATATAAACATGTTGGAAAAGTTGGTCTATTAGGACACCTTATAAGTGTCGTTAAAGAGACAATGTCATCAAAATTATATGTCATAAAAGTTTAGATTTTAGGGCACAAAAAGATGTCCTTAACCTTATGCCAACGACCACCTAAGTGACACCATTATTTGATGCCTTAATATATCATGTGCCCTAATAGATACATATTAGGGCACTTTAAGGTGCCCTAATAGCCATTATTTTTTGTAGTGATCCATACCATAATTGTTCTGCCATTTTATGTTAATGTGTTCATCCTAGAAAAGGTAAGCTCTTCCTTGGGAACTATCTTTGTACCCTTCTCCATGGAGGATATGAAGACATCCTTTCCCATGTTGAACATCATGTATAAAGAGTGGTGGAGTAGCCCCTCTCCCCAAGAGATGTTTGTAGTATTTTCCACTTCCATTAAGCTCATTGACTCCTCATTATCTCTTTGGTTGGCCACACTCCATGAGGATATAATAATCTACAAGCTCTTTTTCCTCCATAGGTTTGGTCTTTGGTTTTAAAGAGTTTACACAACTACACCTCAATGGGTTCACTTAGCATATAATAAGTCTTGATTATGGGCCCAACATTTTAAATGGGTAATTCCTTTAATGCTATGTGAGTATGAACCCCACTCTTCTCTATTGGATACTTCTTCATAGCTTCTATAGTGATTTCTTCATCAACTCTACTAGGGAGTGAGTAGAATCCACCTTATTCCTTTTCTTTGGAGGAACATCTTTTGGACTCAAAGACAACTCTTCTCCTACCTTCCACTTGATTTTTCACATTTCATTTTTTGGAGATACGCAACAAGGAACTCTAACATATCAAGGTCCTCCAAGAATAAATAGCTTGGGAAACTAGTTCAAAGGAACATTTATAGCAAGGTGAGAAAAATACTTAACAAAAAATTGATATAGCTTGGATGCACTACACATTAGTGTGGTTAATAACCAGTAGTGTCCTTCTTTTTAGAAAATTAAATGCCTATGATTCTTATTTAGCTTGTGCCATTAAGGTTTTTCCTTATTAAAGGAAACTAGGCAAGTCGGTTTTACATAACCTATAAAGGATATTACGAGGATGAACTTTACATTTCTACCTTTAAAGTTGTTCTTCAAGCTACCCATCCTCACATAGATTGAGGAAATTGAGAAAGTGCCATTCTTAAATGTTTTGGTTGTTATGTTCCACATAATATTTTTTGATCATAGATATGAGATGAACGTGACCACACTCACAAAGGTGTTCCTCATGACAAACACTATAAAAATCCCCTAAAAATTCAAAACCTTAGTCAACTCCTTATAAAGTAGGAGTTATAGGCTTATGTTGAAATGGTCATAAAGGATTTATAGATCATCTTTAAGGTTTTTTATAATCGGAATTTATATATTCTAGTTTGCATCCTAGAATTAGTACCTTAAGGGTCATCGAATCTCTCAAACATTGTCAATGCTTGATGAAAATCAAGCTTGGGAAATCCGTTGAGACATCTACTAAATGTCATTATCTTAAAGGTGCGAACATGCATCAATGAAAGATATAAAGATAAAGAATAATGAAGTGCCAAGTATAAAATACAAACATTAAGCACCTCTTGTATAGGGAGGTATTATTTATAGAGGGGTTAGTGACTGAAATGTTAAGGTTCCAGACACATCTATATTAATGATACTTTTTTTCCTATAGTTTCCTCTTGAAAAAATTCACTAGCTTACCCCTCATTCACCATAAAAAAATTTCCCCCTCATGAATAGTACTAAAAGTTCCATCAACTTATGAAGCTAAAGAGATATTGTTGACTCACCTTGCATAGATTCTTCCTCGACTTGCTTGATAAAGAGTTACTATGAGTCCATATTATTAACTCTCTTTCTATTGTAATTACCAAAGAATAATTAAAAATTCAAAACATAAAATATCTTAAAGTCATAATAAAGATAATAATCAGAATGAAAGGTAAATATTTAAAATACCTTGGGAAAGAAATGTAACTACCAATGAGGGTATGGGAATACTTATAAATCTAGTATACTTTGAAAATTGTTATACTACATTAAAATTCTGTTTCACCTAAATGGATGAACCTACTAATTTAAAAAGAATTTCCTTTCCATGGGATTTAAAAAAACCTTAAGAGCCATAACTTCTCTCTGAAAGTTTGTTAGGGATGTTAGGCCCTACGAACTAGTCCCGAGGCTAACCAAGAGGGGGGGTGAATTGGCATTTTTAAAAAAATCTTTAAACACAAGAAAAAATATCACAAACTAAAATAACCAAAAAAAAAACAAGTGTGAAAAATTAAAGTGCGGAAGTAGTAAAAGAACACAGGGTTTATAGTTTTTCAGTCAACTTGACTCTAACGTCCACTCCCCGGAGGCGCCCTCTGAGTATTGCACTACCAACGTGACTCTCCTTTAGCCACCATAGCTAGGCGGAGAAGCCCTTACAAAAACACCTCCTTTTTGCCACACCCGGTAAGGCAGAGAACCCAACTCCTTTTGCTTTCTTCTGAAGCAGGCAGAGAACCACGATCACTTGCTGAAACTTACCTCTCCCAACCCTTCCAAGGACAAGAGACTCTAGGGAAGAAGAAGTGGAACAATGCTTGGAGCAACCCTTGTGAACCCCCTCACAAGCTCCCCCTCATAAGATCCTCTCTCTCTCTCCCTCCCTCTCTCTCTCTCTCTCTCTCTCTCTCTCTCTCTCTCTCTCTCTCTCTCTCTCTCCTTTATGTTTTCTCAGGTAAAGACAGCATCCAAGGATGTTCAAAAACATTGAATAAGAGCTCTTAAATAGAAGAGCTTCAAAGGAGCTCATTAATTATAAGTTGCCAACTTTATCGTCCAGGATGATATGGAAATTGTCCTGGCTAATCAGTACAAATCTCATAAGATTGGCCAGTGCATCGCCCTGAATGCAAACTAGACGATTGAAAATTTTCTTGATCATCCCGGATGATATCACAATCATCCTGGCCAATCAGTTCAAATCAGAGGAAAATCATCCAGAGCATCGCCCTGAATTTGAGCTGTCCGATCCAAATCGGCCAGAGCATCACCCTGAATTTGTACTGGCCGATATTTATCGTCCAGGAGCAAGCAAGGGTTTTTTGAATGGATCGTCCAGGCCGATCTTTCTATCATCCAGGATGACGTGATCGTATCAATCATCCTTAATTACTCCTATGATTACCGGATCAATTTAGGCATAATTATACAATATCGTCCAGGCCGATAAAAGAATCGTCCTGGCCAATTTTCAAAAATATAGAATACCTAAATAGATCATGGCGACAATTTCTTTCTGTATTGAGCATATCATTCTGGCTGATACAGGTATCGTCCAGGCTGATCAGTTAATTACAGCTGCCTTAACTAAGAAATCCTGATTAAATCTTCTATTTTGAACTCGATCATCCAAGATGATATAAATATCATTCGGGCAGATGTGAGTAGAAACACAAGTTCTAAACCTCTCAAGTATGTGTGTGTAGGGTTAATTAACATCAGTCACTTCAAACAATTACAATTGACTCAAAAAATAAAAAATAAAAATACAGACTGACTCAACCCTAATCTACCCAATCTTTAGTTGGTTCCTGTTATCGTCCAATCTTTGAGTCCTGAAAAGTGAGTAAAAAAGGAAATTGTAGTGAAACAAGATTTGTTTGTTATCATCAAAATAATAATCCAAAAAAATAGGTTTGCAACACTCTCTTTGCCATGTGTAGTAGGATGAACACCACTCCCCCCTACTGACGATTATTTAATTACATGACCTTATTATTGACCTAAGGAAGCAAAATGCCACCCATTATTCCATCATCAACTCTAACACATCCATGAATAGTATGGAAACCTAATCACTCACTCCTTACTGTCTCCTTTTAGACCAAGTCCCTTCCCCTAACTTATTGTGAACCCCAAGCATCACTTTTATGAGGTTGACTTTCTTTAAGAGGTTATCCAACAAAATTGACCATTACATAGAGACGTATGCACCTTGGATACAAGATGGGGAGAGTTTTTGGTGTCATAAAAAGCATCATGGGTTGGGTTGTGGGAAGATCTTTAGTTAAGGATGATAATTTTTATTCTTAAGTGTGATCTTCTTTTGTGATCTTCAAAAATTTAATTATAGACTAAGTTTCTACAATGGATGGATTTTACTAGCCCACGGTGCTCA